TAAGTTACCGGTGCATGGTCAGGGGAACCGAAAAAATCTCCATTTACCCAGGTTCAAATACAAACTAAATTTCTAACAACAATTAAGAAGGAAAGAGGGGAGGACCTTAAGAGAGAAGGCTACAGACATACTGTGGACACTCTACCCCCACACCCCTCCTCCCCTTCACTCCTCCCCCCGCCTCCCCCGCTCCCTCCTTTCCTCCCCCCAAGGAAATGCCTAGAGCACCGAGTCTGTGCTGACGTCCAGCTCCTGGAGGGCTCAGCCTGCGCAGTGCGGCCACCAGAGGGGACCCGTCTGCAGAGTGGGAGGCAGAACAAGCCTCCCAGGGCAGCTGGATGCCCACCTGGCCCCAAAGCCATCCTTCAGCCTCCCGCGTACCCCTTCTGAAGGGGAACCAGTGTGGTTTCCGCCCAGCCCAGCTGCCTGCCTTGGGAGGCGGCAGAGGCTGTCGCCCTCTGCTGGTCCGTTCCTGTTACTGCAGAAAGTCAGAGTCACCCTGCCACCCAGCCCTTGCCCACCGGGAGCCAGCCCAGCACATCATTCCCATTTCACAGGTGAGAACCAGGCCTCGGCGCTTCCCTCGGCTGGGATGGAGCAGAGCTGGATTGGGAATCAGGAGGTCTCTGCAGCTGATGTGTGCACTTCCGGCTGATCACGTGGCCCTGCCCCCTGTTCACGTGCCACTTCCCCATTTTCACGAACCCAGGAGGCTCCAGGGCCCTCTGTGTATTTGTACCTGTGGCTTCGTCCCTGCATTACCCTGCAGAGAGGTTGCAAGATATATATTCTTTTTATTTTAAAAAATGTTAATTAAATGCCCAAATTTATTGAGAGGAAGGGAACACCATCATTATGAGTTTAAAACCCTGGAACCCAAGTGATGTCATCAGTATAGTATACTGTGTGTTCACTACCCCAAGTCAAGTCTCCTTCCATCACCATTTAAACCCCTTTGACACTTTCCTACCTTCCCTCCTATCTCCTTTCCCTCTGGTAATTACCATACTGTTGTCTATGAAATGGTTTTTTTTCCTCAATCCCTTTACCTTTTTTCACCCAGTTCCCCTTCTCCCCTCCCCTCTGACACCTGTACTTTTCTAATAAGCTACATGGAAAACATATTTTGTTTAATAACCAAATTCCACTGTTATCCTGTGCTTTTGGGGTGGGGTTCCCAGGTGTAGAAAGCTGAGGTGAAACAAAATTGCTCTGCATTGGAAATGTATGTGAACTGCACCCCCATGTTCATTGCTGCATTGCTTACAATAGTCAAACCATGTAAACCACCTAGGTGACCACCAATAGATGAATGGATAAAGAAAACATGGCATATATACATATAGCGGACTATTATTCAGACATAAAAAGGAAATCCTGCCATTTGCAACAACATGGATGAACCTTGAAGGTATTATGCTAAGTGAAATGAGTCTGACAGAGAAAGACAAATACCAAATGATTTCACTTATACATGAAATCTAAAACAAAAACAAAACCACACAGAAACACAGATACACACACACACACACACACACACACACACACACACACACACACACACAAACTCATAGATAGAGAACAGATTGGTGGTTGCCAGAGGAAGGGATGTGTGTGTGCATGAAATGGGTGAAGACAGTAAAAAAATAAAAACTTCCAGTTATAAAATAAATAATTCCTGGGGATATAATGTACAGTATGGTAACTGTAGTTAATAATATTGCATTGCATATTTAAAAGTTGCCAAGAGAGTAAATGTTATAAGTTCTCATTACAAGAAAAAAAAACTGAATTATGTGTGATAGATGTTAGCTAAACTTATTATAGTAATCAGTTTTCAATTATGTGATACACCTAAAACTAATACAATGTTATATGTTAATTATCTGTCTTCTATATCTATCTATACTATTATCTAATCTAATAAAAGAGAAACATGCAAATTGACCGTACCTCCGCTATGCCCAAGCCACGCCCACCAGCCAATCAGAGTGACTATATGCAAATTAACCCAACCAAGATGGTGGCTGGCAGCCACGTAGCTGGAGCAAGCAGGAGGCTTGGTTGCCCTGGCGATGGAGGAAGCCAAGCTTCCCGCCTGCCCTGGCTGGCTGTGGCCTCTGCTCAAGGCAACAAAGTTTCAATTATAGAAGATAAATAAATCCCAGATATCTGCTTCCAGCCAGCCTCCACTGGGAGCTTGGGTGGCTGGGGGCCGTGGCCAGCCTGCAAACAGCCATCAGCTCCTCACCCAGGATGGCTACACCCTCATGGGGTGAGGGTCCCTGCTGGGGGGCTTGGCCAGCCTGAAAACAGCCATCAGCCCCTCACCCAGACTGGCCAGGCACCCCAGCAGGACCCCACCCTGAAGGGGATGTGGCCAGCCTGAAAACGGCCCTCAGCCCCTCATCCAGGCTGGCCAGGGACCCCCACCCTGAAGGGGCTGTGGCCAGCCTGCAAACAGCCATCAGCCCCTCACCCAGACTGGCCAGGCACCCCAGCAGGACCCCACCCTGAAGGGGATGTGGCCAGCCTGAAAACGGCCCTCAGCCCCTCATCCAGGCTGGCCAGGGACCCCCACCCTGAAGGGGCTGTGGCCAGCCTGCAAACAGCCATCAGCCCCTCACCCAGGCTGGCCAGGCACCCCAGCAGGACCCCCACCCTGATCCGGGACACCCTTTAGGGCAAACCAGCTGACCCCCACCCATGCACCAGGCCTCTATCCTATATAATAAAAGGGTAATATGCAAATTGACCCTAACAGCAGAACGATTGGGAATGACTGGTCACTATGACACACACTGACCACCAGGGGAGCAGATGCTCAATGCAGGAGCTGCCCTGTGGGGTCAGTGTGCTCCCACAGGGGGGGCTCTGCTCAGCCACAAGCCAGGCTGACGGTTGCCAGTACAGCAGTGGTGGTGGGAGCCTCTCCCGCCTCCTCAGCAGCGCTAAGGATGTCCGACTGCAGCTTAGGCCTGCTTCCCTGCTGGCAAGTGACATCCCCCAAGGGCTCCTGGCCTGCAGAAGGAATGTCTGACTGCCCAGCTTTAGGCCCCAATCCCCCCAGTGAAGCAGCCCTAAGCCAAGAAGGGGGGCCATCCCCCTAAGGGGTCCCAAGACTGTGAAAAGGGCACAGCCCGAGCTTGAGGGGACCCCCCCGAGTGCACAAATTTTTGTGCTTCGGGCCTCTAGTATATATATAAAACCCTAATATGCAAATAGACTGAACAGTGGAACAACCGGTCACTATGACGTGCTCTGACCACCAGGGGGCATGTGTGGAACATGGTGGGCGGTGGCAGCAGGCGGCAGAGCACAGAACATGGCGGACATCAGCCACAGCAGGATGGTGGAGCAGGTGAGCGGGGAGCCAGACCAAGGTGGGGCTCCGGTCGCTGTTATCAGGGCGAGCCTCTGGTGGTTACTGAAAATTCTTTGCTCCTGCGCACCATGGTCCTGCCCGGTGGTTGCACCTGCTGCCAGTGCCAGCCCCACTCCCACCTACTGCCGGTGCCAGAGCTGCCACTCATACCACTGCCAGTGCCTGGTGCTGGCCCCAATCACTCAGCGCCATCAGTGGGTGCTAGCGGCAGCTGCCAGCCATGATCACATATTAGGGCTTCTCCACTTCCCCCTGCTCCTGAGGGGCAATTGGGGCCTGCAGCCGCCACTTGCACCTGCTGATGGTGCCGGTCCTGCTGGCACTGGCCCCAGTCGCTCCGTGCCATCAATGGGTGTGAGCAGGGCCAGCACGGTCAGCACGTGGGAGCCTTGGTGGTGGGAGTGGGGCTGCTGGGAGAAAGGGGACTGGGGGCCGCGGCGGGAGATGACCACACTCGCCTGGGGTGAAGGACCACACAGGGTAGCGCCCAACCTTCAGTGGAGGGAAAATCCAAAATAATAAAAGCTTTTTACTGGACAACATTTTAAAACCTTTGTTGTGGACATTTTCAAACACATATAAAGGTAGAAAAGTAGAATAAAGAATCTCCACCTACCCATCATTCAACTTTGACAACCTGGGGTTCATTTTTTAAAAAGTTTATGTAATTTCCCATGAAGTAGTATTTAAAGACACAAGAACTGTTGAGGGATTCAATGTTTTTTAATGGCAGTTATCTTACAGACTAGAGCTGGAAACATAACTCTTTCAAAATTAATTGGAAATAAAAATGTTTTGAAGCCATTTGAAACCATATAATTAATTGCATTAATTTCTAATATTTGAGGTGAGATAGCACTTAATAAATGCAGCATTTCATTCCAGTATTTTTCTTTCACCACAATTGAAATTTTACCTGTAAGAATCAGAGAAAAAAAGAAAAAAAAAAGAACAAATGAATGAAAAATTAGGATTTATTGGTCCCATCTTTCTTTATATGATTTTGTTCCAAATATCAAAACTTCTATTCCACCCCTACTATACTGCCCAATTTCTACTTATTTAGAATCAACATCAAACAATGGCTCCTGGTTCAATACAATTTATTAGGAAGAGTCATGACCACCAGTTAAGAATTAGATGAGCCTCCTAGGTTAGGGATTCAATTTGTTTTTTGGCTGAAACTTGTGTTCACTTTTTCATCCACAATATTTATTAAGTGCCGACTATGTGTCAGGCACTATTGCTAGGTGGTTGAGTGAACCAACGGAATGCTCTGTAGACGGCCATAGTTCACTTCTGTTACCAAATGACAACGAATCACCAAACATGTGAAGATAATAGTATCTAAAAAGCAGAGAACCTAAAATAATATTTTTCACGATGACTAGACCAGTCTACTGCCACATTCTAATTCCTTAAGGGCTACTTTGGCATCAAATTCTGAGTCAGGTTGGTAACATAGGCCTTTAGAAAAGCATCCCTGTTGCCCTGGCAGATGTAGCTCAGTTGGTTGGGCATCATCCTATGCATTGAGAGGTCACTGATTGGATCCCTGGGCAGAGCACCTGCCTGGGTTTCGGGCTCCATCCCCAGTAGGGGGCATGCAGGAGACAGCTGACTGATGTTTCTCTCTGGTCAATGTTTCTCTCTCTCCCTCTCCCTTCCTATCTCTCTCAAATCAATAAAAACTTTATTTTTTTTAAAGCATCACTGCTTGGGAAGAGAGATAATAGTCAATTCTTAGGAGGTAGGGTATAATGATAAGAAAACTCTCCATCTTGACTTTGCTTGAAAGTGAGTTAAGCACTTCGGTCATTGAGGGAAGCCGTTTAAAACAATCAGAAGGCATGCCCTAGCCCAGTGATGGCGAACCTATGACACGTGTGTCAGAGGTGACACGTGAACTAATTTTTTTGGTTGATTTTTCTTTGTTAAATGGCTCTTAAATATATAAAATAAATATCAAAAATATAAGTCTTTGTTTTACTATGGTTGCAAATATAAAAAAATTTCTATATGTGACACAGCACCAGAGTTAAGTTAGGGTTTTTCAAAATGCTGGCACGCCGAGCTCAAAAGGTTCGCCATCACTGCCCTAGCCAGTGGTCGGCAAACTCATTAGTTAACAGAGCCAAATATCAACAGTACTTCTTCAAAATAAACTCGCCCAGGCTGAAAACCGACTTCTGCGCATGGGCCACGAAGTGTCAATCGCACTGTACGTGCACCCGCACGTGGTATTTTGTGGAAGAGCCACACTCAAGGGGCCAAAGAGCCACATGTGGCTTGCGAGTCGCAGTTTGCCGACCATGGCCCTAGCCTGTTTGGCTCAGTTGATAGAGAGTCGGCCTGTGGACCAAAGGGTCCCAGGTTCAATCCCGGTCAAGGGCACGTACCTTGGTTGCAGGTTCCTTGGGCCCTGGCCCTAGTTGGAGGCAACCAATAGATGTGTTTCTCTCACATCGATGTTTCTCGCTGTCTTTCCCTCTCTCCTCCACTCTCCCTAAAAATCAATGGAAAAATATCCTCAGGTGAGGATTAACAAAAAATAAAATTTATTTATTTATTTATTTGTTTATTTTTTTAAAATATATTTTACTGATTTTCCACAGAGAGGAGGGGAGAGGGATAGAGAGTCAGAAACATCGATGAGAGAGAAACATCAATCAGCTGCCTCCTGCACACTCCCCACTGGGGATGTGCCCGAAACCAAGGCACATACCCCTGACCGGAATCGAACCTGGGACCCTTCAGTCTGCAGGCCGACAGTCTATCCACTGAGCCAAACCAGCCAGGGCAATAAAATATATTTATAAAACAAGCAGAAGGCAAATACTAGGACAATAAAATGGCACTAAAAGTGAAACACACTGAAGCATGGTTCATGAAGAGGACATTACTTTGTGCTGCAGGTGGCAAACATAGCTTAGAGAGAGCACCAACCGATCATACACGTGAATGCACCATCCTGACCAAGGACTTTTACAGAGAATAGCCATTTCCATGTGAAAGCTAAACTCTGACTGCAAATGTTACGGGGATTGGCAGAAGAAATTGAAAGACGGGACTGGATAAGCCACTGCCCTCTTGCCTGAGAGAAATAGGAAGAAGTGAGGAGATTAAAAATGTGATCAGGCATTTTGGATAACTCAGAGAATTGTCCACACATAATTTATAGAGACCAAAAGAGTCTCCTACCACCTTGGAGAATGAATTACTGTTTTAATACTGTGGTACTGATAAGAACACATAAGTAGGTACATTCACACAGCATAGCATCTCAGCTGGTTACTGTTGGTGGCAGTGCCTTGAGATCCAGGCTTAGACAGATGAGTATTCGGTCATGCACATATCTCTACCACCTTAGGTTATGGGGTATCTAAGATGGGCATGGTTTATTTGGTGCATCACACGGCCACTCCTGTTGTGGCAGACACCTTTAAAACGTCACACAATTCCTATGCAACTGGGCTTAGTCCTTTCCATCCAGGCTCTGGAAAGCTGGCTACTAACTGATGGGTGTAGACTGGCAATTAAACATCACTTGCCCTCCATCTGTTAAGGGGTATCTCATGTCTCTGTGAGACAGTACCAAGGAAATAAAAGATGGCTTTGAAATTTTATTTTGATACTCATAAATCAGGAATTCCCACCAACATACCAAACATCTTTAAAAAGCATTCATTTCTTTTCTTTTTTCAATATCTCTCTTGAGTTGACAAAGGACGCACTGAGGGAAACACATCAGCATTAGGGAGTCGTTGCAAATGGATCCCTGTTAAAAACACAAACAGACAGACACATGAGTCCGCATGTAGTCTATAAACACAGTCACACAATTTCCTGCATTTGTATAGCTTTTCCAACCTCTTTAAAACATACATTTGGTCACTTGTCATGAGGATTCTGTGACATTATCCCCACTTTTCTGATGACCCAGAGAAGTTAAAAGACTTGCTAGGATCACATAGCAAATGGGTGGCAGTGCTTGGTCTTTCTGGAATGGCTCCCTTTAAAGCAAGTGGTGCAATGCACCCATTTTTCTATAGTTGGTGAGCAGTGACAGACCAAGCCTCCTCTTGAATCCCTCAGCCATTTTCATTGGCATCTCTCATGTTCTGCAAGGGAGAAAGTCCGAAGTGAGAGAGGGACATATAGTTATGAGGGGAAAGAAAGAAGGGAACGAATGATGTTTGGAAAAGCCATACATGGGCTGCTTTCAAAGTTCTGAGGGCCCTCTCTCTGGCAGAGTCCAGGTGGGCCCTCACTGACCCTCTGGTAGAGATGCCCTTGGAGGAACCCTGCTTTGTGTGGGAGGCACTGGGTGATCTAGGGGGCTCTAGTCTGACAACCAGATTCTATGATGGTGTGACTTGATGGATTGAAATAATTTTGAGCTCCATTTTTTTTTGATAGCACGAATTTTTTAAAAAGTGTTGAGTAAATACAATTCCCAATTTGTAGTGTGAGCAGAGAGAAAATGAGGAAGAAAGAGATAGCTATGGCAGATTGAGTTTATAAGGGTTAGGAGCTCCTAAATGTTGAGATTATGCGTGCTCTATTCTTTTTTTAAAATCCTCACCCAAGGATATATTTTCCGTTGATATTTCAGACAGAGTGGAAGGAGGCGGGGGATGGGGGGAGAGAAACACATCGATGTGAGAGAAACACATCAATTGGTTGCCTCCTGCACATGCCCTGACCAGGGCTGGGGATTGAACCCACAACTGAGGTATGTGCCCTTGACCGGGAATCGAACCCAGGACCCTTTGGTCCTCAGGCCAATGCTCTAACCACTGAGAAAAACTGGCCAGAGCAAGTGCTCTATTTTTTATGAAAAATTTTCTATTGCTACAGTGATTTTGATTCTCATCTACCAGAGTAAGCATGTGGGGAAAAAGGGGACAAATGAATAGCAGTGTTAAAACTCGTCTAAAGTTGTGCCCCTTGTCAGAGGGAGGAACAGATATTCAGCCTGAAGATAATTCAGTCTTGTAGCCTTCTCTTTTTCCCTGATAAATAATCCACAGTTTCTTTAATCTTTCCTCATAGGACTTGTACTTTTCAGTCTTTAATTCATTATTTACTATTTACTTTTAAAAATCTTTTAAACCTTCATTAAACCACCATTATGCCACAAAGAAGAAAACATTCTCATTAGTAATGAGACAGTATGTCTATGCCTTGTCTATTTACCTCAGATTGTTTTTAAAACATTATATATATATATATATATATATATATATATATATATATATATATACATTTTTTTCCATTGATTTCAGAGAGAGTAAGGGAGAGGGAGAGAGAGATAGAATTATGAATGATGAAAGAGAATAATTGATCAGCTGCCTCCTATATGCCACCTACTGGGGATCGAGCCTGCAACCCAGGCATGTGCCCTGACCAGGAATCGAACCATGACCTCCTGGTTCATGGGTCAATGCTCAACCACAGAGCTACACTGGTCGGGCTCAGGTAGTTTTTAGGGGGGAAAAATCCCACTATTATTTGCTGAGAAACCTAGGGAAACTTATAGAAAACACAACCTGATTCTAAGTCTGTTTCATAATATACATATAGAGACTATAGAGAAGAAAAAATGTTCCTTTTTCAAAGAAAGAGGAAATGAACTACAGGTTGACATCGTGTTGAAGTTAATAAGGGATACAAATGCCTTGAGGGGAATAGTTTCTTGGGAAATGGGTGCCAGAAACAAAGACTCTGCATTCACCACTCTGCTTGGTTAAACTGGACTAGTACTTCTCTGATTAAAAAGGGTCTTGTTATCAGCACTTACAGATGCATTGATTGAGCGAATAAATGAATGACTTGTGGTACATGGTTGCCCACACATCTACGCAGGAAGGCAGGATGATCAAGTGGGAGAAACCAGACATTTGGAGTTAGAATAAACCAGCATTTCCATGTTCTGTGACCTTAAGCCTGTCTTACCCCTGGTTTCCATACCTATAAAGTGGAGACCACAGTCTTGATGCCATAAAAAGTTTTTAAGTAGTAAATGAGCAATTATATGTCAAAATCCTATCCCAGCAGATGGTAGCTGTTTCCTTTCTCCTTCTCTCCAGCAGAGGCTGTGCCCTCCTTGACCTAAGGCAGTAGTTCTCAACCTTCCTAATGCCGCGACCCTTTAATACAGTTCCTCATGTTGTGGTGACCCCAAACCATAAAATTATTTTTGTTGCTACTTCATAACTGTAATTATGCTGTTATGAATCGTAATGTAAATATGTGATATGCAGGATGTATTTTCATTGTTACAAATTGAACATAATTAAAGCATAATGATTAATCACAAAGACAATGTGTAATTATATATGTGTTTTCCGATGGTCTTAGGTGACCGCTGTGAAAGGGTCGTTCAACCCCCAAAGGGGTCGTGACCCACAGGTTGAGAACCGCTGGTCTAAGGAATGCTGTATTGGCTGGTCCACGAAGGGAGGGGCCCATCAGTCAGAGGCTGCATTGTAGCAGCCCCAGGAGAGTTTGCACAGATGTAAACAGGAAACAAAGCAGGAAGCACAAATTAGTCCTAGGACTTACTTGCCATTATATACATATACATTGATTTCAGAGAGGAATGGAGAGAGAGATAGAAACATCAGCCATGAGAGAGAATCATTGCTTGGCTGCTCTTGCATGCCCCCTACTGGGGGTTGAGCCTGCAACCCGAGCCTGCAATGTGCCCTGACTGGGAATGTGAACCCTGACCTCCTGGTTCATAGATCACCGCTCAACTCCTGAGCCATGCCGGCTGGGTTTTACTCACCATTTTAAAGGTCTGTTACAAGGAGGAAGATACACTGTCTATAAATACACTTATTTAATGTATGCCAAGAATTCTGTCATAGAATCCTAGACCTAGAAATGACTTTAGAATCATCTTGTGCAACTTCCTCATGACAGACGAGAAAACCAATGCGGCCAAATGATTTCCCAGAGTCAAAAAATTAGCTATTTGCTGAGCTGAACCCAGAACTTTTATCATATAGAGTCCAGCTAAGTGCTCCTTCTCTTATACCATTTTGGGGTTAGGGGCCACTTTGAGAAATCCACTCACACCCATATACGTAACTACAAACACATGACACTTTGCCTGTAATGTTAGGAAGTCCACAGTTCAAAGTTAAGAACTCCCATGTGTTATCTGCCTTGTGAGTGGCACGCATGAGAGCTGCAAGGAGTGCTGAGAGTCAGGTGCTGAGCAAGCACAGGGGAGAAATGGAGCCAGGCCTGAACCCAACCCTGCCCTGGGAAATCAGCTGAGTCATGTTCTGAGATAAGAACAAAAATGATAACTGTTATTTATTGAGCACTATCACTTTCCAGGCTCTGCGCTAAGCCTTTTCCATGCATTATCTTATGTGACCTTTACTACACCACCCTAGCGAAGGCATCCTTTTGTCAGCGAGGGAGCCAAGGTTAGGAAGATTAAAAACTTGCTCTCCCCCCATGGGAGCAATGCCTGGGGCAGAGGTTAAGTTTTCAGGAGCAAGAACCCATCATATCAGTCTTTGTTTAGAACATGTCAGTGACTTCCCAGTTCACTCAGAGTAAACGTTCTTATAGCCTCCAAGGCCCTTGCTAATGCTCTGGCATCATCTTCTTCTATTCCATACCCCCACACACTCTATTCCTATCCCCCACTCCACAATTGCTTCTGGATAGAACATTCCAGCTAAATTCTACTTCAAGGCCTCAGATCTATCTCTTTCTTCTGCCTGGGCCTTTTTCAGGCCTTTTCTGACTGAGGTCTTTCCTGATAGCCCTATTTAAAATTAGAAACTTCAACGCTCTTCCTCTTCCTTGCTTTACTTTTCACTGTAGCACATCACTATCCTATATATTTTACTTTTACTTAGTTATATTGTAACTATCTCTTCCCATTAGAGTGTAAGCTCTGCCATTGGCAACCATCATAATAGTAACTGATGCAGGCAAGAATCTTCAATGAATGTTAGAACTAGTGGGTGAAAGTTTGATGAAGAACAGGATATTTACATCTCCCACAAGATCCTATCTATATATGTAAAACCCTAATATGCAAATAGACCGAACAGTGGAACAACCGAACAATGGTCGCTATGATGTGCGCTGACTACCAGGGTGCACGCACGGAACATGGCGGGCATCGGCCGTGGCAGGATGGTGGAGCAGGTGAGTGGGGGCGCCAGACCAAGGCGGGGCGCCGGTCGCTGTCATCGCGGGATCCTCTGGTGATTACTGAAAATTCTTTGCTCCCATGTGCCATGGTCCCGCCTAGCACTCACACCTGCTGTCGGCACCCTGTGCTGGTCCCAATCGCTTGGCACCATCAGCAGGTGTGAGGGGCTGCCAGCCTTGATTGTCCCTGAGGGCTTCTCCACCTCCCCTTGCTCCTGAGGGGCGATTGGGGCAGCAGCCACCTCTTGCCCCCACTAACGGCGCCGACCCTGCTGCTGGCGCTGGCCCCAATCCCCACTAAGGGCGCCGACCCTGCTGCAGGACCGGCATGATCAGCACGTGGGAGTGGCGGTGGGAGGGGGACTGTCAGCAGGCAGGGGACCCAGGGCCGTGGCAGGAGGGGCTGGGCGGGAGCACGGAGGATGGGCTGAGACCTGCCCCTGTGCCCACCGCAGCCTCGAGGCCCACAGTTCCTTTCAAGGTGCATGAATTCATGCACTGGGCCCTAGTCCATTATAAAGAGGAAAATAGCAACTTTATAGTGGACGGTCCTGGCAGACACTATCTTAACCAAGTGTAACATCACACATAATGGGGTAAGTGGATGTCATGTGCTTCCTGATACAATGTATGGCAAACACAGCTCAGCTTCTGTGGAGTTTCTGCCAAAAGTGTACAACCTAATTATGGGAAAACAGTTGACAAACCAAGCTGAGGGATAGTCTACTGGTCTATGTTACTTAAAAAACAACAACAAAAAAGAACAAAGAAAGACTGAGAAACTGTTTCTTATTGTATGAGACTACAGAGGTGTGACAACTGAATGCAATGTGTGATCCCAGGTTGCTTTTATTTTCATCTAAAGGATGGTGTTGGGATAATTGGTAAAGTTCTACTAAGATCCACAGATTAGCTACTAGTATTGTATCAATGTTAAATTCCTGATTTTGATCATTGTTTCATGGTTATATAAGAAAATGTCCTTGTTTTTAAGAAATACACTGAAAAAGATGTAATAGTGCATCAAGTTTGTAATCTATCCTCAAATGACTCAGGGGAAAAAAATAGATAAGGTAAAGAGAAAAATAAAACAAGTGTGGCAAATTTTTACTGCTTGGGGAATCTGGGCAAAGGGTTTTCAGGAAGTCTTTGTACCATTTCTGCAACTTTTCATTAAGTCTGAAATTATGTTGAAAGGGCTTAAAAAAATAAAAGAACGTAAACTCCATGAAGACAAGGATTTTGATTTCCTTTATTCACTGACATGTCTCTAGCATCTGCAACGGTAATTGGCATGTTCTATGTACTCAGTAAATCCCCACTGAATAATGAACATCAGCCTATGATTTAACAAGGTTCTGGGTGCTCAGTGGTCCCTTTTCCATGCATGAATGCTCCCTTACGAGTTACCAATGAGGCAAGCGGGACAGCATGGAGAGGATGCCCTGAGCTCTCCTTACCCAAGGCTCTGTGAGAAACCTTCAGGGCCCATGTGACTCTGGGTAAAGCCAGGAGAGGCTAAGGGTCCCGTGCTGGCCTCTGGCCCTCACCTACTCACCACCAGCAACTTTTTCGGACACATCTACTGGATCAATTAAATATTTTATTATAAATATATCCCAAAGAATAGATAGCCACACTGCCCCTGTCAATCACTTTAGAGGTTAGGATGGTGATGGAGAAAAGACTAGGTCAAGGCATGAAGGTGAGGAGGGGAATCATGGATTAAGGAAAGCCCTCGGGTGTCCGGGCTAAAACCACCTCCCGTGGACCCTGGGGTGACTCACCGGGATGCCGTATCGAGTCCGATACAAGGTCCTCATGGCGACAGATGCTCCACATAAGCAGCATTCGTCCATGTCAGAGGCAATCTGACACGAAAGGCACAGAGGGAAGAAAGTCCCGCAGAGGCCTGAGTGAGAGTAAAACCACACAGGGGAGTTGGTGCAAGTCATCGTGGTTTCCACCAAATCACCCGCTTTCCAATAGGTGCTTGCCCGGGAACTGGCCTTCAGACCCTCTGAGAACACAGTGTGGTCCCTGGCTCCTTACGTACCGCTTCTGGGCCCGACTGTCCCGAGACTGGGAAAAATGTGCCTGTCATAGCATCAGGTCAGATTTGATTGTAAAGGCTTCTGCCTTGTCAAACTGAGCATGTAAAACTGATCTCTCTGTTCCCGGCCACGTGTGTGTAGGACGTTTGTGGTGTCAGGAGGTCTGAAAAGCCCTCTGAAAACGTGGGAGGGTGTTTAGGGTCAGAAAGGGGAGAGTGGAGAAGTCCTTAGTGCCAAAATGAGAAATGCAATGGGGAATACGTTTTAGATGGTCATGCAGGCAAAGAGCAGAGCCCTGTTAGCGACAGGAGGACGGAAGCAAGCAGAAGTTAAGGGATAGTAGCACAGAAATGTTAAAGAGCTTACTGCTATCTCACTTTAAGGAATCTGCCTAAGACCAAAAGTGGGCCTAAGGAAATGGCAACAAACAGGAAAGGTTCTCAAACATGCTCTGAGTGAAAGTCTATTTTGGAAAGCTCTGAGGTGGGTTTTTTAAAAATATATTTTTATTGGTTTCAGAGAGGAAGGGAGCGGGAGAGAGAGAAATAGAAACATCAATGATGAGAGAGAATCACTGATCGGCTGCCTCCTGCACAACCCCTGTGGGGATCGAGCCCACAACCCTGTCATGTGCCCGTGACCAGAATTGAACCCGGGACCCTTCAGTCCGCAGGCCGACGCTCTATCCACTGAGCCAAACCAGCTAGGGCTGAGGTGGAGTTTGGATAATGCTGTACCCCAAATAAGATAAGAAAGTCCTTGGTTTTTTTTGATTGATTTACACAAAAGGCTATCTCTAATGAACTTGGAACCTCCATCATGTACCAAAAAATAAAAATAAAAATAATTTAAAAATAAGGAGGCTGTTTCTCAGAGACACTGGAAAGATGCTCCACACAGGGCATCTGCAGCTCATGTGGCAATAGACTCTGAAATAAGGACAATTTTCTCATGCAAAAGCGTGGTTGGTCGTGCAAAATAATGATGTCAGTAAAATAAAAATTCTACACTGCTTGCTGAAATGGGACAGCCACAAGCGTATCACTGAAAGCCGGAAAGCATAGTCAACTTCTTAGGAAAGGATGAGGTAAATAGAAAACTGGAGAAGCATGTCAAGAACATGGTGAGCCTGGCTGGCGTGGCTCAGCAGTTGAGTGTCGACCTATGAACCAGGAGATCACGGTTTGATCCCCGGTCAGGGCACATGCCCGGGTTGCAGGTTTGATCCCCAGTGTGGGGCGTGCAGGAGGCAGTCAATCAATGATTCTCTCTTGTCATTAATGTTTCTATCTCTCTCTCCCTCTCCTTTCCTCTCTGAAATCAATAAAAATATATTTTAAAAAAAGAACATGGTGATACTACAGAGGTGAGACATTTAAAAAGAGGTGATTGATCTAAACAAGGATCACACACTCAAGGCCAGGCAGGTAAAATAAATGAGTGAGGTAGGTTGGAAAACCCCCAAAACAGTGGATGGTGAACATAAATATGGCAAACTGTGGAGCGAGAATCCTTTTTTAAGGGCTTGGCTCATCCTCAGCCGCAGCTGACGGACCTCTGCCACGTGAGAATGGGGACTCATCTTTCCAGATTTTCCTCATTTTCAAGAGAAGCTGGACATCTAGATCGAAAAGCTGGATTTTTGTGTGAAATCTGATTTTTCGATGTTTGCTACTATATTAAAATTAGTACATCAAGAAGGCGCAACATGTACAGGACAAAAACAAACAAACAAAACACACCTGGTGGCTAAATCCACCCAGGGCTTGTGACTTCTGAGTTAGAGAGTGACACATGGAAGGATAAATAAACACAGTGTTTGTTGTGCTAATAATCTGCATAGTTACTAGCAGTCAAGGAGAAAGCAATGGCTGTGTGCACTTACAAATCCCTATGTCGCTGCAGCAGTCAAACGTGCCGGTTTGCCAGTCGCTGGCCGTGGAACCTCCTGCACCATACCTGGGCTGCGTGACAACGGGGTTCATTTTTTAGGATCACTGCGAAGGTCACTGCCTGTAAAACAAAACCAAAAAAGCATTCGTTCCATATAATATAGATACCGGCTGAGAAGGCCTTTCATCTCCTCTCTCCTGTGGAAGGCGGCTCACATGCTCCCAACGTCGCCTAACATTTCCAGGCTGCTATGGATATCTGGGATTTAAAACCATAAAGTTAAGGGGATGAAGGCTTCTCTCTCAGGTTTTCACTCCCCCTTTCACCGATCAGCAAGATTATGTTGTTGTTGTTGTTTTTGCTTTTTTCAAGGCAACCACCCTGAACAACGTCTATTTTGCATTTGAAGTGTTTCTATTGACTAGCAATTATAATCAGTTTTTACAGAGGTATTCCACAGGCATTTTCCCAGTTGTCCCTTAAGAGAACTCTGAGATAGAGTTCTTCACTTTTCCATAAGATTGTTATTAAAACAGATGCTTCCAACGGACGTCAGCGTTCCTGTGTATCTATTAGTGATATCCGGATAGCTAAAGTTTTAATAGAAGGCCCCCGTTACTTAGAAAAAAACAACACTCAGTTTCCTTTGGTGAAGATGTCAGGTCAGAATCTGAAAATAAAAAGAGGCTTCAAGGTCGCGCAGAAAAACCCACTGGCTGAAAAACTACCAGGAAACAGTGTCTCTCAAACAAAGTGGTGCCTGTACTTTTTATATTTCACTCTGCGATCAGGGGAAGTCTCCGAAGCTCTCAAAAGAGAACATGTGTTTGTTTTCACAATTACCAACGTTCAAACTCGCTGCTTGACTATTTCAAATCTGACTATAGTACTGTGTTCTGTAGTCTTGGTCCCCGCTCACTTCTAACACTTCCCTTGACCAGTTGCAAGGGAACCCCATTGCCCCCCATTGTCCTTGGGCTTTGCTGCCTTCAGTTTTCCTCCACTGTGACAACCCCAGTTAACAATTCTATCAACATGCTTCCCTATCCGGGCTGCACACTTAGGTTCATCCTTAGGGCCTGGTTAAAAAGACAGATTCTTGCTTCTGATTGAGTAGCCTGGGGTGGACCCTGGGTGTGTAAATTTTTTAAGAGGCGATTCTGATGCAGCCACTCTGGTGGCTATGGGGACGTGTCATTTCACTCTTTCTAGGTCCTTCCTAATGCATTTTCTTAGCTTTTCACCATGCCCTGCTCCTCTTCCGGGGTGATTCTGTCTACTCAGATCTGTGGCTGTTATCAACTGATTTCTACCAACAGCTGAGTCCTTTAAAAAAGGGACCAAAGTTCTCTCGAATAATAAAGCCAAAGGCACTTTGAACTGCCCTAGAAAGGTGTCTCTAACACTTGTTATCAAGAACTTGCTTTATGACCCAAAGGGACACCAGCCAGCTTGAGGCTATATAATTACGGCCAAAGCCTTCCAGAATCATATTTGAAACTGCAAGATATAGGTAAATATTTAATTAGAATCCAAAGGTCTTTCTTCTCTCTGCTTAATTGGGAGGGTAATGATATCTTTCTTGATAATGCAGGAAAACATTCGGCTATGTGGTAGAGCAGAGACTATTTACCAACAGGAGAAAATAGCAAAGGGTTGACCAGGGACTCCTATCCACGTGCAGTATTGTGGAGAGAATGAATTAGCAGAGAGATCATGGTTAAAAATCCTGAGAATGGATAGTATTGCCTTGTCTAATCAAGTGAATTTAAAGTTGTGCAGGGTAAGGCACAAAGTTTTAAGTTTTTATATAGGAGTCTTTTGTAGTTCTGGTTGTAACAGGGTCTTATTAATTAAAATACTCTACATAACAGATATTTTCTACTGGTTTCTGTCTACAGACATTTTGTCTTAGAACACTGCTGTCGTATTGCTGTTACAGAAAAACCGGACCAGAACCATACAGCGCTCTGAGAGTTTGGAGTTACACTTTATTCACCGTGGCGGGCCTAGGGAAATGAATCCAAATCTAAGCAAAGCTACAAGCAGAACTTCCCTTTTTATAGAAGAGCCAGCCCTTTGTGTGCTTGCTGGCGGTGGCCTTGAAAGCTACACAGTTCTATCCAATTAAAAAATGCACCTGGCATGGCATTGGGTGTATCTAGTCTCTGGCCTACAAGGTCAGACAGCTAAGTTTATCTCCCCAACTATTCAAGCAGCCTAGAAAGCAAAGTTATTTTTTCAGAATAAGAGGCCATCCAGAGAATAGCAGAGAATTCCAAACAGTAGTTTTACAGAATAGGGGTTTTCCTTCACATTGCAAGCTAACATGTATGTTATAACTGAGGAGCTTGTTAAGAATGACACATCCGCCCTGACCAGTTTGGCTCAGTGGACAGAGCGTCGGCCTGCGGACTGAAGGATCCCAGGTTTGCGACCTCTTTACAATATAGGTGAGAAATGAGGCTTGTCTCAAAGACTGAGTGTGGCCCCTTGTCCTCCTCGTAATCGCTTCTCTGTGCTCAGTTTCCATATCTGTGAAATAGGGTATTGACAGAACCTAAGCTTCTGAAGTTGTCAGAAGGACTAAATGAGTCAATATTTGAAAAGCCCTTTGAGTGATATCTGGCATAATGTAAGTGCTTTGTGAATATTATTAAATAAAAAATAAAACGGAAACACAATACTATCCCTCTGCCTACTCGTACTTCCTTTACAGTCTTAGATATTGAATTCAGTTCTGGGGAACTCCACAGCCTTTATTCTTCTTTCCATTGAATCCACCACATCACATGTCCAAAGTGACAGAGTGGCAGGGCTGGGGCTTGAATTCAGTTCTGGGGAACTCCACAGCCTTTATTCTTCTTTCCATTGAATCCACCAATGAGGAATTACAATTCTTAGCCAGTTGAAATGAGCGAGCCCTGCTCAAGAATAAAAGGTAAGGGCTTTCCTAGAATGTCCCTTCTCAGGTAAATTTTGGGAGCTAGACAGTTTGTGACTAACTTTGCTTTCTTTTTATGTAGTTATTTACGTGTTTATGTATATGTACATATTATTTTTAACATCCTGAAAGCACTCAAAAACTTGCCTTAGAGTTCCACAATACAGGTTTAGAGGACTGGTTCTCAACCAGAGACGATTGTAACTTCCAGGAGACATACGGAAATATCTAGAGACATTTTTGGTGTCATAACTGGGGGTGAGGTGCTATTTGATCTAGTGGGTAGAGGCCAGGGATGTTACTAAACAACCTGCAAAGCACAGAACAACCTCCACAACAAAGAGTTTTCTAGTCCCAAATGTCAACAGTGCTGAGGTGAGAAACCGTGGTGTAGAGAACATCAACCTTTAGGATGGAGCCTAAAGGTTGTCTAGTTTCCCAGCAGATGCATAAGTCGTGTCTACAATAGGCCTGAAAAGCAGTCCCTGTGAGGAATGAAAACTAACACGTCACTTCTTAGTTCAGAAATGTTCAAAATGCAAACACTGGAACTCAGGAATCATTCTGTGACTCTGGGATCCCCCACGGATTCATTCACATCCTGCTCTGAAATTCCTCTCCTGTGTGGCAAGTCCTGTGGCTAGTCCTACCACCATGCTTGCCTCTTTTACTTCTGCTTACTGTTCCCAAGTCAACAGTTTAACCTATCCAGTTCTACCATTTTTTTTCTCTTTAAGTAAACTTTTAATTGAAGAGCAATATACAGGTAGGGCAAAAGTAGGTCTACAGTTGTGAGTACACAAAACACAGTTTATTCTTGTATTGTTATTTATTAATTACTAGAGACCTGGTGCACGAAAATCGTGCATGGGGGGGGGGGCAGGTTTTCCCTCAGCCTGGCCTGCACCCTCTCCAATCCGAGACCCCCCGGGGGATGTCCGACTGCTGGTTTTGTCCCTGCGGGATCGGGCCTAAACCGGCAGTTGGACGTCCCTCTTGCAATCCAGAACCACTGGCTCCTAACTACTCACCTGCCTGCCTGATCGCCCCTAACCCCCTCTGCCTGCCTGCCTGGTCACCTCTAACAGCCCTTCCCTGCTGGCCTGATTTTGCCCCCAACTGCCCTCCCTTGCTGGCCTGGTCACCCCTAACTTCCTCCCCTGCCTGCCTGGTCACCTCTAACAGCCCTCCCCTGCCAGCCTGATCTCACCCCGAACTGTTCTCCCCTGCTGTCCTGATCGACCCTAACTGCCTCTGCCTTGGCCGTCACCACCGTGGCTTTGTCTGGAAGGAAGTCAGACATCTGGAAGATGGCTGGTCAACCCGATCTAATTAGCATATTACCCTTTTATTAGTATAGATAGTATTACTTATTTGTATTATAACTGTAGACCTACTCTGCCCACCCCTGTGTATACAGTAAAGTGCAGAAGTCATAAACATGATTGATGAGCTTCTACAAAGTGAAAAATTCTTGTAACCACAACGTGACCCAAGGACTAGGCCATTTCCAGAACCCCAGGAACCCTCCTTACCCTCCTAGGGAGCCTTACGCTCTGCCCAAAGGCAACCTCTGTCCTCGAACACCAGAGGCTCATTTTGCCTGTGTTTACCTAGTTATATACATTATTTATTTTTCTGTGTCTGACTTATTTTGCTCAAAATTATGATTGTGAGATTCAACCATGTTAGATGTAGCAATAATTCATTCATTATTTTTTTTTAAAAATTGACTTTTAGAGAGAGAGGAAGGGAGAGGAAGAGACAGAGAGAAACATCAATGTGAGAGTGAAACATCGATGGGCTGCCTCTTGTACTCCCCCTACCAGGGATCGAGCCCGCAACCTGGGCATGTGCCCTGACTGGGAATGGAACCAGCAACTGTTTGGTGCATAGATGACTCCCAACCAACTGAGCCACACTGTCCAGGGCTAATTCATTCATTCTTATTGCCATATAATACCCTATTATATAGATATACCACAATTTTTTTTATCCACTCTACCATTGTATTCCTTTCAGTTTGGACTATTACAAATAGCATAATGCTGCTATGGATATTCTTGTACATATCTTCAAGTGGACTATGTATGTATTTGTTATGTCTATACCCAGGGGTAGACTGCTGGGCCCTAGGGTTAGTAGATAGTGCTAAACAGTATTCTGAAGTAGTGGTACCAATTTCCACTTCCATCAGTAATGTATGAGAGTTCTAGTTGCTGCACATCCTTGCTAATACTTTGTAATGCCAACATCTTTTTTCTACACATAGGTTGCTAAAGAACCTGGGAAACAGGAGCCTAAGTTTAAGACTGAGGAAAACAGAAATGATGGTTAAATGATTAAATAGACTTGCCATATGTAGGAAAAAGAAAAACAGGATATTCAGTTAAATTTGAATAAGTATGTCTCATGCAAAATTTTAGACATATTTACATTTAAAAGTTATTTGTTCTTTCCTTGACATTCAAATTTCTCTGGGCATTCTGTATTTTATCTGGAGGGTTGGGAGAATGACTGTAGTATTAGTTACCAACGTGGGAGCAGAGGATAACTGCTCCCCATAGTTACAGGAATGGGAAGTGGTGGGGAGAAGCCAAAAACAATGCAGCCTCAGCTTGTACAGGAAGCACTCTCTCACTCCTCCAATAGTGATCAGAGGCCAAAGAACCCAATATTGGCAATGATGGCTTTCTTTCTTTCTTTTTTTTTTAAAAAATATATTTTTATTGATTTTCAGAGATAGGGAGGGAGAAGAAGAGAGACATAGGAAGATCAATGATGAGAGAGAATCATCAATCGGCTGCCTCCTGCATGCTCCCTCCTGAGGATCAAGCTTGCAACTTGGGCATGTGCCCCAACTGGGAGACTAGGAATCGAACCTTGACCTCCTGGTTCATAGGTCGATGCTCAACCACTGAGCAACACCAGCTGGGCAGCAATGATTGATTTATGTCTAACTTATTGTAAGAGTATTTTCTCTGGGAACACACAATTGTTTATTCCTGGATAAAGGAAGGAAAACTCAAGGAGCTTTTTAAGCCTGAATTCTAAGCCAGTTCTGAGAGTTAGTCATTTCTGAAGGTATCTATAAGAGATATATGTGTTAATAAGTTTGTTTGTATTTTCTCTTATTAATCTGTCTTTGGTTACAGGGAACCAGCCAAGATCTTAGAATGGTAGAGGGAAAGTTATTTTCCTCTCCTACAATGTCATTTCTGAAATTTTGTCAAAACAATGAAAACTCTGTTATAAAGAAATTTTAAAAAGATTATGCTTAGTTGAAGGTATGGCATTAAGCAGCACATGACTGTACGTCCTTCCTTTTAGTTTGTGTGCGGGACCGTATTTTCATGAGGATACTCCCAAATGTGGCAGTAAAACCATTTCTCCTACAGTGCAGAGAAGGCTGCTTCTCTTGCTGTTTGTTAGATTGGGATGCAAGTACTCATCTCTCTTAAAAAGTAGTGTATCCAATCATTGTGCTTTAGCTTAGAATTATTATCTGATTAGTAGGTACCCCTACCATGACTCTTGAGTTGCCGTAAAGGAGAGAGAGTTTTTTTTTCTAAGAAAGTTTAATTTGCATTCTTCTAGCTCATCCTACAATTTATTTCTATTTGTATAATTAAAAGTCAAAATACTATTGGTTGAGTGAATGAATATTTTGAATTACCTTTAAAGTCCCAATTTATATGCAAGTATCCTGAAAACCCTCAACTAAAATCAGATTGCTCATTTAAGCAATTATTTATTACCCCAGACTCAAGTCTTTATTCTGTTTCTCTCTTCATATCTTTCTTGAAACTCTGTCTCCAACAGGAGCTCAGCAGAGAGGGACCCCAAAAGTATCACCAACTCCTGAACTTGCAGAGGCTTGGCTCTACCCCATGCTCAGCATATCTAGTAGCAGGTTGTATCCACAACATAGCAGGCCTACAGATGTCTCAGATGTAATATCTTGGCTAAAAGAACCAGAAGACCTATGAAGTACAGCACCTTATTTTAAATCTTTCTGTAACTCAAACTTGAATGGGAAGTGCCTGTCCTTTGAATTATGTGGGATGAAGAGCACTTACCTGGTGATTCAATACAGCTAATGGCTGCCTCTATTTTGGTACAAAACATCTCAAAGGGGCTTGATTTTTATTACTATTATTTTTGATAAGCAGTCAAGTTTGTTAAATGATTTTAAAGTTTGTTTTATTGTGTGTTGGGCGAAGAATCTCCTCTACTCACATCCCCTAAATAGTACTCATGATTGAGTAAAGAGGGTTAAGATAGTGCTGGTCTGTAACCATAGAATCAATGACTGAAACTTCCAGAATATTGCATTTGAGTAGTGTCTGTAATCTTTAACTCAACAAATACCATCCAATATTTTATAAGAAGATAACAAAATCATTGGTGAGTGCTCTAGTTGGTACAGATGAATCTCAAAACATCAATGAAAATACAATTATCTGTTGGCCAGACAACACTTAAATGATGGCCAACTTAATTCAGGAAAAAGGCAGCAGCCTTTACAAACACTTGCTTATAAAATATTTCTTTTCCCCAAAAGCTTCCAGATGTATTCTTCCAGAACAGGGTCTATGCAGTAAGAGGGGCAGCCAGTAAATTCATACACATTTGTCTCCATTTTCACTTCCCCAAGTAAAGCCCAAGTGAGTTTCAATGCAGCGGTTAAGTGCTAATTTTTCAATGAAACTGAAGGCCAACCATGGAGTGCCTGCCCAGGCCTCCTCGGTTTCCTTTGCATTTCGTTAACACATTCAAGTGCTCTTAGGGTTGGTCACCTCTCAGGAGGTAAACTGAGCACAGCCTTTGGGCACTGTTAAAGCTGGCACAAGAAAGTAAAATGAAAGAGAGAAAAATTTGGACAGATATTTAGTTTCCCTCTCCAAATAAATGTAATCCTTGAGAGAGATAAGCACAGTGGTATTGACCTTATTTATTTATGGAGAGATGTGGACCAGTAGCACCCACATGTATGTACTAGTAAGGCCTCTAAAGGTTCCAGTCTGGTCCTGGTTATAATGAACCGTCAGCTGTTTTCAGGTCCCTTGCTTCTGAGCTCCAAAGGGTGCTGGTCATTCATCTATCCTAACACAATGCCTGCTCAATAGGTGTTAAAAACCCCCACAAAACCTCAAAGAATTAACAAGTGTATGAATAAAGCAACTGTAAGTCCCTTAACACAATTTTGGAGTCACTAGACTAGACATCCAAGACATCAGAGATACCACCTCTCACCCCACCTCCCTTTAGGTCTTTATCAAATGTGTTTGCCGTAGGGACCTGGAAGTTAAAAGGAGAAAAAAGAAGCTTCTTCCCCTCCTTTCTTTAAACCGTGCAAGTGAGAAAAGCTAATTATTCCCTCAACAGTGAAAGCGCTGAGATCTGCCTTGGGAATACTGCCGATGATAACAGGCTACACACCAGGAAAGATAATACGAGGCCAGATCAGGATGATTTCAAAACATTGTTTTTGTTATATAAAAGCAAAGACATTTAGAATTAACTTCTGATAACAAAACAATAATAAACCTTAAAATGACTGAAACAGAAATCGTGCCCCTCCCCCAGCAAAACCAATTACAACAGCAAATCTTGAAACCCATTACAAAATAAGAGAGAAGCCAGTCGGAGAAAGACAAGTATCACATGATCTCACTTATATATGGAATCTAATGAACAAAATAATCTGACAAACAAAATAGATCCAGAGACATGGAAGCATGAACAGACTGAGGATTCTCAGAGGGAAGGGAGTGAGGGAAGAGAAGAGATCAACCAAAGAACTTACATGCATATAGGCATAACACATGGACACAGACAATAGTGGGGTGAAGGCCTGGGGATGGGATGGGAGTGGGTCAATGGGGAGGAAAGGGGACATCTGTAATACTTTCAACATTAACGATAAATTTAGAACAACAACAACAAAAATGGAAAAAAAATAAGAGAGAAACTTCCTAGAAGGAATTTAGAATATTCTGTTTAAACACTCCAGTCTTAATGGTGATACAATGATTTCTTCTTTAATGATTAAAAACATTATTTTTTCTTCTTAAAGAAAGGGTCTTCTAGTGGCACATTTTAAAGAAAAAGTCACGATATTCACAGACTTAACAATCACTACTGCCAAACTGAATTTAAAAGACACCTGCATGGTGCAGACATGTGAGTTTTTAAGATTACCCTAGAATTTACTCCCACTATTCAATTCTCCCTTGGCTTATGCTAATTACATGGTAAGATTTTATTTGTTCTATTTTTTTTATTAATTTTTTTTTCTTTTCAAAGAGGATAGGAGAGAAAGACAAAAGATTTGCAAAATGGAAAAGGCAACCTGTATTGCAAAAATACTTACCACACAAAGGGTAACTGTAGAGATCAGCAGTCAGGTCAACCACTGGGAGGCTCAGGAACACTGAACTAACTGCTCTGTTGCTTCAGCCTGGGGTTATAATCACCAAGGGTGGAGTTAGGGGTGGGGAAAGTTAGGAGGTGGGCCTGCAGGAAAGAAATCTTGCCAAAATTGTTTGTATTGCCTAAATGGGGCCAATGCTTCTGTACTTAAGAATGTTGACACTACATTTTGTCTAATTGCATTTATTTTATGTGACCATTGGCTGATAACATCTCTCCCAAAGACAGCAAGATTTATTCAGGATTGGGCAAAAACACATTTTATGAGGGTCCAAAGCCTGTATATTTATTTAGGATTTCTATAATTCATTTACTTCCTACGGTATTTAAGGTCCTTGAAACATGCCTTTTTAAAAAATATATTTTATTGATTTTTTACAGAGAGGAAGGGAGAGCGATAGAGAGTTAGAAACATCAATGAGAGAGAAACATCGATCAGCTGCCTCCTGCACACTCCCCACTGGGGATGTGCCCGCAACCCAGGTACATGCCTTTGACTGGAATCGAACCTGGGACCCTTCAGTCTGCAGGCCGACGCTCTATCCACTGAGCCAAACTGGTTAGGGCGAAACATGCCTTTTTGTTGTTTGTTTTTTGTTAATCCTCACCAGAGGATATTTTTTCCAATTGATTTTTAGAGAGAGTGAAAGGGAGGGAGGGAGAGGGAGAGAGAGAGAGTGAGAAACGTCAACGTGAGAGAGACACAACAATTGGTTGCCTTCCTTCCACGCACACCCAGACTGGGGCTAGGGATTGAACCTGCAACTCTTTGGTGCATGGGCTGACGCTCTAACCACTGAGAACACTGGCCAGGACTTGAAACATGTTTTAAAGTAAGAACTAGGCAGCTGGTCTTAGTTAAGTCTCAACAATGCTAAAGAGATAACCAACCTTCCTCTTGCCAGGTTCCTGGGGCTTTTGTTCAAAGCTGATGGCGTGAACAAGGGAAGATATTGAAGGGTTAGGGGAAGAGCAGGGACATGGCCACTAGCATTTTGGAGCCACCTGTCTGGTGCCAGTGTGGAGCCTGAATTCTAAAAGGCCAGACTGACATCAGGGAGCTCCCTCCAGGGGTAACTCCATAGAGCAGTGACGACGAACCTTCTGAGCTCGGCGTGTCAGCATTTTGAAAAACCCTAACTTAACTCTGGTGCCATGTCACATATAGAAATTTTTTGATATTTGCAACCATAGTAAAACAAAGACTTATATTTTTGATATTTATTTTATATATTTAAATGCCATTTAACAAAGAAAAATCAACCAAAAAAAATGAGTTCGAGTGTCACCTCTGATACGCGTGTCATAGAGAGTGCAGGGTGAAGAGGCCTGGGCGGGGATGGAAAGGAGAGAATGGATTTCACAGAGAAATAGGAAATGGCAGTTCTTAGGAAATGGGCAGAGGGATGGACAGGGAATGAATCACTTAATGGATCATTAGATAGGCACATAGTCATGCACTACTGTATATAAAAACCTTAATTGTTTCTGGTTGTGGACAAAACAATGTGTTAGTTTAGCTGAGGTTAAAATGTCCTTCGTTCCTCAGTGTGACTCTAATGAGTTGTATTTTCTTTCATGTGTTTGAACATAAAATTCGAATGACTCACATCACTGAAACTTTGTTTTATCTTCTTCCTGGTTAGACATGTGTGCAGAGGGTGTTGTTCCTGGAGGTGGAAGATAGTGGAAAGGGATCCTGGGTGCTTATCTGAAAGGGGTATTTGCCTAGTCTACTAACATTCATACATACCATGCAGCAGAACATTCCATTTCTGCATAATAAATGCTGTCTTATTTCAAGAGACTAGTGTGTGAGAAATAACCACTCACTAGTTTGTATAGGTCACTAGACCAAGGAGGTAGGCAGCATTGTCCCTGTCCTTGAAGAGCTCACATGTGGCAAGTGCAGCCTGTATAGAAAATACGCTTGGGATCTCCCGGAGCAAGAGGTCATCAAATTCTAGGCCACACTATGAGGATCTTGGGCAAATGTCTTCATTTTGAAAAGCTGTGATTTATTGGGTGCCTATTATGTGTCAAGCACAAAATCACTTTATTTTGTGAATATATCAAGATACATCTTCACCACTTGATATTCATAGGAACTCTAGTTATCATCCCCAGAATAAAGATGAGGAAACTTAAGTAACTGGCCCAAGGACCCAGTATAGTGGATAATGTGGTCTGTGTCAAGAGTTACACCTACCCGTTCTGGCCACTTTTCTCTGGGAATTGGTCATCGACCACTAAATCTACCCATTTCTCAGCCCCAAAGCTGAGATTTGGCCATTAAAGGAGATTAATAATGCGCCACCAAGCCTATGTATCACAGAAGTTCATGGTTTACTGCTACACTCATGTGCTGCTTAACAATGGGGATAGCTTCTGAGAAATGCATCACTAGGTGATTTCTTCATTGTGCCAACATCACAGAGTGCATATACACAAACCTAGGGGTATAGCGTACTGCAGCCCTAGGCTCTCTAGTAGAGCCTATTGTTCCTGGGCTACAAACCTGCACAGCATGTGACTGTAATGAATTCTGTAGGCAATTGTAAGGTGTTGCAATGTGAATTACCACAGCTACTATGTCTCTAGGGCCTAGCAGCCGTGGGCAAACTACGGCCCGCGGGCCGGATCCGGCCCGTTTGAAATGAATAAAACTAAAAAAAAAAGACCGTACCTTTTTATGTAATGATGTTTACTTTGAATTTATATTAGTTTACACAAACACTCCATCCATGCTTTTGTTCCAGCCCTCCGGTCCAGTTTAAGAACCCATTGTGGCCCTCGAGTCAAAAAGTTTGCCCACCCCTGGTAGAGTCTACTCTAGGCCATAGAAAATGTTCAGTTTTGCCCAGTTGGGTGTAGCTCAGCGGTTGAGCATTGACCCAGGAACCAAGAGGTCACTGGTTTGATTCCCGGTTAGGACATATGTCCAGGATGCAGGCTCGATCCCCAGTGGGGAGCATGCAGGAGGCAGCCAATCAATGATTCTCTCTCATCATTGATGTTTCTATCTCTCTGTCCCTTTCCCTTCCTCTCTGAAATCAACAAAAAATATATATATAAAAGAAAAGAAAATGTCAGTGGATAGAGCATCATCCTGTGCACCGAAGGGTCACAGGTTCGCTTCCCGGTCAAGGGCATGTACCTGGGTTGCAGGTTTGATCCCTGGCCCCAGTTGGGGTGCATGCAGAAGGTAACCAATCCATGTGTCTCTCTCACATCAATATCTCTCTTTCCCCCCGCCCCCACCTCTCCCTTCCACGCTTCCTCATGGACAATGTGAGGGCCCCAGCAATGGCGGTGGAAGTACTTTTACAGGACTGTTCAGAGAGGACTCCGTTTTTGAGAAGACAGATAGGCGGATGCATCATGTGCCCAGGCATGCGTGCCCATGTGTGTGCGAATTCATGCTGAGGAAATCGCCAGGTCATTTGTTTGTCTTTATATGATTAAAGGATAGGACGTGGCCACAACTTACCTCGTGTTGCTCCTCTCTTTGCAAACAGGCTCAGCAAGCTTTGGGGCTGAGACACGGGGAGCTTTCGTGGTTGATGACCAGAGAAAAGTGGCCGGGACAGGTAGGTGTGACTCTTGACACCGACCAGAATGCTTTAGGGTCATTGCCCTTTTCAAAAAGGACCAAGTAGCCACCAGCCTGTGCCAAGTGGGGTGCCTCCAGGAACAAGTTCTGTAGGAATCCTTCCTGAGGTTATTCATTTCACAAATGTTTTTTGTTGTTTTGTTTTTGGTTTTGCCCCTCATCGAGTGAACCTTTATTTATTTATTTTTAATTGCAGTTGACTTACAATATCACATTTGCTTCAGGTGTCCGGGACCGGGATTAGACATTTACACACATTACTGAGTGATCACCCCAATGAGTCTAGTCACCATCTATCACCACCCTCGGCAAGTGTTTATCAACACAGTGTGGACTCTGGAGTTGGAATTGCCGCTGGCTCACCTTGGGACCTTGGCCTAAGAAGTCACTTCAGGTTCCTCAGAGGATTGTTATCAAGATTAAGAAGTGAACGGGTCCTAGCGCAGTCGACCAGTATATGACCAGTACTCAGCAGATGTTGATTTTCTTTTTTTCTCCCCTGAGTTAGAGAAGTAAAAAGAAATTGAGGAAGCAGAATGTGCAGCTTGCTACAGAGGCTGTTGACAGTGAGGGAGAGGGAAGAATTGAAACGGTTCCCACATTTCTAGCCCGGGACATTGCTTAACATTGCATATCATTCAAGACTCTTTCTGACTCAGGTCAATATTAAGCAAAAAATGGTTTTATTGCCTAATGTCTGAAAAATCCTGGGTACAACCAGCTTTAGGGCCCGTTTGCTCCAGGGATCAACCCTGTGATCAGGGCCCAGGTATCTCCTCTTGGCTTCGCTCTCCTTCATGTTGAGGTTGTTCCTTCTCAGTCTTCACCTGCCCTGTGGCGTTTGCCAACAGCTCCAGGCTTGTCCTCCCAGATCCTGGGGCAAGAGAAAGTAGTAACAGTAGTTAGTGCCCATATTTGCTTACCATTATTCTAACTTTTTATACTTGTGATTTTCATAAGGTAGGTAGGAAAACTGAGGCAGATTAAATTACTAGCCTAGCCCTGGCCGGTGTGGCTCAGTTGGTTGGAGTGTCGTCCTGTACACCAAAAGGTCTCAGGTTTGATTCCCAGTCAGGGTACATACACAGGTTGCAGGTTCGATCCCGGCCCTGGTCAGGCATATGCGGGAGGCAAACAATCAACATGGTCTCTCTCACATCGATGTTTCTCTCTTCCCTCTTTCCCTCCCTTTCACTCTAAAAATCAATGGGGGAAAAATATACTTGGGTGAAGATTAACAACAATAACAATTTATATATATTGAATTGTAATGATAGATGTCAAAATACCTTTCTCACAATTAACCAGTATTACCAGTTAAAAAAAAATCTTTCATTGTGCTGTACACGTTAAACTGATACACTGCTGTATGTCAATAAAACTGGGGGAGCCCTAACCAGTTTGGCTCAGTGGATAGAGCATTGGCCTGCGGACTCAAGGGTCCCAGGTTCGATTCCGGTCAAGGGCATGTACCTTGGTTGCGGGCACATCCCCAGTGGGGAGTGTGCATGAGGCAGCTGATCAATGTTTCTCTCTCATCGATGTTTCTAGCTCTTCATCCCTCTCCCTTCCTCTCTGTAAAAAATCAATAAAATATATTTAAAAAAATAAATAAATAAAACTGGGGGAAATCTTTCAGACCAACAAAATAATACAATGTCATACTAGTCAAAACATTATTCAGTGGAACTGAATAACATAATGAAATAACTGGATATAGTATACATATAAGGGCTTCTTATAACCTACAAATAAAGAAAATATTTTTTCATGAAAATAAAAAATTATGAATCATGGTTAAAGGTGACCTAAACCTCACAAATAGTTACAAGTTAAGAAACCAATTTCTTATCTTGGATCAAAGAGGCAGTAAAAGGGAACTATAATGCTCTAGAAACTAAAGAAAAGGAAACCACTTTCTATTGAGACGTATGGGATTCGAAAGCAGTACTAAGAGGGACATTTAGAGCTCTAAAACACACTCACACTTTAAAGTAAAACCAAAAAATAAAGGAACTAAATAGTCATTGTGAAACACTTTAAAAAAAGAAATCAGGAAATTGAAATCAATAAAGGTAAAAGTTGAAAGTAATAACATAGAAAAAATAACAGAACGGACAAAAATAGTAAGATGAATAAATGAATTAAAACCTAATAAAAATAACTCCAAAAGTTTACTGAGAAGATTAATAAACTATATATCTATATAAAATAGATAAATGATTTGCAAGGTGGAAGAGGGAAAAGATAGATTAGGAATGAGAAAAGAGTCATAACCCCAGTCACACAAGAAATTAAAAGATTTAAGAGACTCACTATAAGCAACCCTACAGCAATGAATACGAAAACCTACAGGACATGCATGCTTTTCTGGCAAATTACAAACTATTAAAACAGACCCAAGAAGAGATGGCAAACAATAATAGACCAATGAAGACAATGGGATGTTAATAATGAGAAGACCCTAGGGCAGTGGTCGGCAAACTCATTAGTCAACAGAGCCAAATATCAACAGTACAAAGACTGAAATTTCTTTTGAGAGCCAAAATTTTTTAAGCTTAAACTATATAGGTAGGTTCATTGTTATTAACTTAATTAGGGTACTCCTAAGCTGACCTTTGCTAAAAATGTCCTCAATCTGATTGAGGTATGTTTGCTGAGGTCGACCCCTTCCAACTCTCCCATCCACACTCGTCTTGTATACTTGTTTTTTTTTTTTTAAATCTTTATTGTTCAGATTATTACATTTGTTCCTCTTTTTTCCCCCCATAACTCCCCTCCTTCCAGCTCCCACCCCACCCTCCACCCTCACTCCCCACCCACTGAGTTCATCCATAGGTGCATGATTTTTGTCCAGTCACTTCCCGCATCTCCCACACCCCTTTTCCCCCAAGAATAGTCAGTCCATTCCCTTTCTATGTCCCTGATTCATTATAATCACCAGTTCATTCTGTACATCAGGTTATTTATTCACTTGATTCTTAGATTCATTTGTTGATAGATGCATATTTGTTGTTCATAATTTGTATCTTTACCTTTTTCTTCTTCTTCCTCTTCTTAAAGGATACCTTTCAGCATTTCATATAATACTGGTTTGGCGGTGATGAACTCCTTTAGTTTTTCCTTATCTGTGAAGCTCTTTATCTGACCTTCAATTCTGAATGATAGCTTTGCTGGATAAAGTAATCTTGATTGTAGGTTCTTGGTATTCAGCACTTTGAATATTTCTTGCCATTCCCTTCTGGCCTGCAAAGTTTCTGTTGAGAAATCAGCTGACAGTCGTATGGGTATTCCCTTGTAGGTAATTGAGCCTCTTCCTCTTGCTGCTTTTAAGATTTTCTCTTTGTCTTTTGCTCTTGGCATTTTAATGATGATGTGTCTTGGTGTGGTCCTCTTTGGATTCCTTTTGTTTGGGGTTCTCTTCGCTTCTTGGACCTGTAAGTCCATTTCTTTCTCCAGGTGGGGGAAGTTTTCTGCCATTATTTCTTGAAATAGGTTTTCAATATCTTGCTGTCTCTCATCTTCTGGCACTCCAATAATTCTGATATTAGACCGCTTAAAGCTGTCCCAGAGGCTCCTTACACTATCTTCACACTTTCGGATTCTTTTTTCATTTTGTTTTTCCAATTGGGTGTTTTTTGTCGAATCTTTGGTTTGATTCTTGTGCTCCTCTGGTCTGCTATTGGGTATAATATCCTTTATTTCAGTCCGTGTATGCTTACTTTCTAATTTCTTTATCGTAGCATCGAGGGTCTCATTAGTTTTCGTGAGGTTCTGCACAAATTTATGCAAGCCCTCAAAATTGCGATTCTTAGCTCCATATCCTCCATTTCTGTCATGTTTTTTTGTCTCCTCATCTTTTTATGCTTTCTTGGTGCACCCCCTTGTGGTCTCTGTGCGCAGTCTTGTTCTAGCCAAGCCTTAATTGTTGTAGTTAACACTAGAGGGATTTGACCACCAGCCCGACTGGCTGTAGGAATCAGCTGTGCGGAAAACGTCTGTCTTCTGGGGAGGCGCTAATCCAGCCTTTGCCTGAGGCGATCGGCAAATGGCTGTGCGCAGGGCTTGGGCGGGCGGGATCAACAGGGCGGGGGGAGGGAGCCGCTATGGCCGCTCTCAGTCCGTCCCCAGGGGTTCTGCCTCTCTGTCCCAGCAACCGCTGCAAACCTCGGAGGGCCGTAGCCAGACAGTCCCGCTTCTCCCGTTTGAGTCTGGGTCCCTAGAGACTCGCCCGGATCTGTAGCCCAGAGTCTGAGACTCGCTCCTGATTGAAAACGACAATCGCGCCCTCAGCCGCCAGCCCCCTTTGCGCGCGCACCACCTCACCACCGCACCACCGTTAAATTTTCCACACTGCGCCTCCGCTGAGCGTCGGAATGCTGTTGTTTTTGCTTCTAGTTGAAGAGACTCTCCTCAGCCAGCCTTCCTGTGGTTCTGGTTGATGTCCGCTCCGACTTTTAGTTGTATTTTTGAAGTGGTTGTTCGAGGCAGCAAACTCCGGTGTTTACCTATGCCGCCATCGTCTCGTCTCGTCTTGTATACTTGTTTCGTCTATCTCCTTTCGTTCATCCTCTCTATATGTCCAAACCATCTCAACATACCTTTCTCAACCCTCAACACTACATCTTCTTTCACTCCACAACGTTCCCTAAAATTAACTTAATAAACTTGACTTAAAGTTTTAAGTCAACTTCGCACTGTACGTGCGCACCTGCACGTGGTATTTTGTGGAAGAGCCACACTCAAGGGGCCAAAGAGCCACATGTGGCTCGTGAGCCGCGGTTTGCCTACCACTGCCCTAGGGCCAAACGGATCAGAGCTGAATTTTAGTTTACCTCTGAAGGTCTGATATTCCCAATGTTAAGTTATTTAAACCCCTGCTACTCACAGTGTGTCCACAGACTAGCAGCATCAGCATCACCTGGGAGCTGGTTAGAAATGCGGGTTTAGCTACTCCAAGCCATAGAAAAATCTTTTAAATTCATGTTTTCAAGCCAATATAATTTTAATACAAAAAAGAAAAAATTGTTCAGATGATTTATACTTTTTAATTAGAATTATAATTGTAAATTAATTTCACTTAAGATTTAGAGAGTAAAATTATAAACAAAATATTAGCTTATAGAAACCTTCATTATATCAAAACAATTAAAAACAGTAAGCAAGCTTTATTTCAAAACTGTAGGAGTGGTTCAACATTAACATAAGCCATTACATTGATAAACAAAATGGCACTAAAATTCAGCAGTTATTCATTCCTAATAAAAATTCTAAGTATAGAAGCAAATTATTTAACTATGCAAAAGACTATTTACCAAACACCAATAGCAAATATTATCTTAAGAGAATGTGATAAGGTGGATGGATGTTAGATAAATATACAGAAACCCATAGCTTTTTTCCTGTTCTAATAAAAGCCAACTAAAAATAAAAGCAAGAACATATTTTTCCATGTTCAATTGTGACAAAAACTATAAATTATTTAGGAATAATTCTAACAAAAAATAACATAAAGTATAGGGGAAAATCTCTTGCTATCTTGTTAAAACGCAAAGATTTCAATAGCAAAGGCCTTCCATATTTTTGGAAAGGAAATCTTATATCACAAAAAAGTCAATTCTCTTAAAATTGATTTCATGCAGTTTCCACCAGAATGAAAAGGTGTGGTTTTTTCCCCCTTGGAATTGAACAAAATAATCATACAGTTCATTGGGAAAAATAAATGTCCAATATTAGGTTAAGAAAACTATGAAAAAGAAAAACAGTAAGGGGAGGATTTGCCTGCCCAGATCATCTCAGACCTAAAATCACCGTAATCCAAGATTTTGGCAGAACAATATTATTAGGATTAATGTGGAAACTTTAAGAGTAAAACCAGTGTTTGCAGAAGTGCTATTTCATTTTGTTAATCCGCACCCGAGTATATTTTGGCCATTGATTTTTAGAGAGAGTGGAAGGGAGGGGGAGAGACAGAGAGAGAGAGAAACGTTGATGTGACAGAGGCACATGGATTGGTTGCCTCCTGCACGTGCCCCTACTGAGTTGGGGATCAAGTCTGCAACTGAGGTACGTGCCCTTGACTGGAATCGAACCTGAGACCCTTCAGTCCACAGGTTGATGCTCTAACCACTGAGCAACCGGCTAGGGCAGAAGTGCTATTTTATTTAGGTGACATTATTGGGATGCCTACGTGGAAATATCCAGCAGCTAAAGTGAAACATGCAGCCCTGGCTGGCGTGGCTTCTTCACGTTCTTCACGTGTCCCTTTGTTTGATTTCGTGTCATCTTTGATGTGCTACCTGTTGGCTTTTGTGAAGCTGGTTTCCTGCAAATGATGATTCATGACAATATCAACACCAGTGATGACTGTGCTTTCTGTACCTTCGCCCTTGGAGCCTTCGGTGGAGAAATTTCCACCCATGACTGTCATCAGTGTTACCTTCTAATCTACTGACCATCTCCTCCACCTCCAGGCACAGCTTATCTCTGATGACCCAGATCTGGCAGATATCGGAGAACGTCTCATCAGGACTGATGAGGTCCCAGTAGATGATCTTGATGGCGGCTGGAAGTGTGCTGGGGGAGGAAATGAAACATGAGAAACTTACTGAATGTGTTGGGGGGAGGGACTGCGGCCTGGAAAAAGTTACCGATTGTGTCAAGGGCAGGGACCATGGGAGAGAAAAATTGCTAATTATCTCGCTAAAACAGCAATGTGTTATGATTGAACCCAGCCAGGTATGACCCTGCTCGTAAATTTTATGTAAACTTTTTACCCTGACAGTACCAGGAACGGCTAATGAACCGCTTTGTAGTTGTTTTTTTTCTTTTTTTTTCTAACACTGTGTAGTTGGCAATAAAAGATCTTGCTGCACACTTGGTCGGGGCCACATGCTCCGAATCTCCCAGAGGGGGAGATAGGTGCTGTGGTCAGCTGGCCAGTTTAATAAAAGGCTTTTAAATTTAAATTCTGAGTCGGTGGTCTATCTCGTTGAGCCAACCCATAACAGAAGGAGATGATAGAGGCATTGGCTTACAGGAGCAGGAGCTCTGAGTCAGCCCGGCGCAGGGGGAGCAGTACTGAGGGGATGGGAGAGCAGGTGGAAAAGCTGTTTTACCCGTTTTTAAGGGCACAGTAAGTGTTTAATATATTCACATTTTATGCAACCAATCTCCAGTACATTTTCATCTTGCAAAATGAAAACTTTATACCCATTAAACAACAACTCCCCATTTCCCCTACTCCCAGCCCCTGGCCACCACCCGATGGTAACTTTTTTTATTGGGTCAGTTTCCTAGAAGTTCTGCCTGGGTGAGTGTCCTTAACACATCCCTGAAGAGTCAGAACCTATAGGTACCCTTGGAAATTAGGGTGTCATTTGGCTAATCCAGAGAATTAGTGATTAGATATGATCCCATGCCAGGAGGAAACAAAATTCAGGGATTCAGGGATTCATAAGAAAGTGCTGGAAGATGGACAGAATTTGGATACAGGTAAAGCAACTTAATTCCCAGGCATCAGTACAGGCCTTATGTATGAAGGAAGGAATGGGTGCAACAGCTGGAGGAAATGTGATGATCATTGAGGTCAGGTAGTCATTCATTCAGTAAATATATTTTGAATATGCCCAGGCCCAACCCTACCTAGGGTTTGGCACTCAGTGATGAATAATCCAGGATCCAGGATCTCAAGGAACTTGCAGTCAAATAGTCTGGACA